GAACTTGATATGGTTCACCGAGAGCTTAAATATGCATATAGACTGCAAAGTGACTCTGAAAGGGAAATGCACACCACAGAATTTCCCCTAACCAGCAGATTGATACCAGCTAGTCAAGGGTTTCCAGTTCGAAAGGGGGGTGAGAGCCCACTGCTCAAGACATCACCTGCCAGCATCCCTGAACCCCCAGCAGCAGCAAGGGGGTGGGAGCCTTTTTAAAGGCTGCCTTCCAGTCACAGTGTGTCACCTAAAGAATTGGATAAGCTGGCTAGAAACATTCCCAGTTTCACTACAAACCCTGCAGGAGGCCACGATGTGCACGCCTGTTTAAAAGACATTGACTTTCACTTGCAAACTGTTGCCAATGTTACCACAAGAGACAGACTCTATCTGCTCCGAATCACCGCCAGCCGTGAGGTGAGGAGCTTTCTAGACCGGCAGCCAGAAACGGTCGAAGGGGATTACCAGCAAATGCAGCAGGCTCTGATTAAGGAGTTCTCTGACCCAGAGTCAGAGCAAGGACTGATTACTGCCATGGACCTTAAACAGGGCAGACAGGAAACCACACAGGCTTACTACAACAGGCTCAGACAGGCCTACTTCGGAGCACGAAACGAGCCAGGAATGGAACAGGATTTCAACTTCAAAACTCTGTTGCTCCGGAACCTGCACCCAACAGTGAGCCACCACTTGGGGGTTCTGGCTTGCCCACGGACTATGTCCACCCAACAGCTGCAAGATTTGGCCCACAAGGCCTATGTTAAACAAAAGACTGCTTCTGAAAAGACAGGAAAAACCCCCACAATCTATCCTGTCACTAATCAGAGCTCTGAACTTGCTCTAGAGGGCGCCGAGCCAAGCCACACTGACAAACCCGTCAACACAATGTCAAGGCCCTTCCCAACCAGCAGAGAGCAGCATGGCCATGGTGGTGCCCGTCCTAAGCACCAGTATGAGCGGCCCGAGAGATCCTGGGACAGGTCACAACCACCCCTCAACCGAAGGGGTGGAGCCACATGGGAACCAAAGAGCCGGCCCAAGGGGAACCGACACTCACAGACACAAGCACCGAGCTCGGACTGCCAGCAGCAGAACCCCTCTCAACAGGCCCTAGACAGGCCCAAATATAAACCATCCACAGAACAGAACCAGAAAGCTACATCTGAATCAGCAGAGATCATGAGACTTTTAAAGGACCTCCTCCAAGAAAAGCACCATAAGGGAGAGGAAAGGGATGAGTCAGGTCAGTTATGACTAAGCATTAGCTCTGACTCCAATGCCCACTCAGAGTCCCCTCAAAATGAACTTACCAACCAGATCACTGCTAATCCACTGTTAACCACAGAACCAGATATCCCATCACCAAGTGGTGACATCACTCAACCACCTCAGCTGACGGTGGAACCGCCAGAACCAGCCAACATCCCGCAACACACCTCCAGCCAGGACCGCAAAGTACCAGAAAGCGCGGTTTTGGTGGTCTGCCTCCCTGACGAGCAACACAAGACCAGCTCTGACTGCTTGCCAGTCACCACACAAGCCCCAGTGCAGAGATTCCTAGGGAACCTAATCGAAAGGGGGGTGGCCAAAAAACTCTACCTGGCCATCACATTAGGAAATGAGATGAGACTGGAAGCCCTGGTGGACACTGGAGCTGACCTCACTTTAATGTCAAGCCAACTTTTTGACAGACTTCAAAGTGAAGCCAAGAGACAGAATCGAACTCTTAACTATCAGAGGTGTGTGCTTAATGTGCAATCCTACAGCCAAACTGAGGTCCAACTTGAACAGGTAGCTTCAATTCACCTGACCATCGGCCCTATGAACTTTGTACACCCTGTGTACATTTCTCCATTGGACACATATCCTCTCCTCATTGGCAAAGACCTGCTAGATCGCTTTGAGCCATTGCTAGATTTTAAACAACTGAAAATCTGGGCTCAAGTGCAAGAACCTCTGCCTCCTCAGTCACCAAGACCACCCCAGACAGACTGTCAGGTCACAAAGGTCGCGGGAAATCTCACTGCCAGCCGCGGGAATGTCTCGGCTCAAGAGTAAGGTTCAAGGTCGCTGCTCTGCACTGTCCAGTTAGCCAAAGACTCTGACACATACGGCCCCCAAATTAAGGGGGTTTACAACTGAATGATGTCACAACAACAGACCCCATACTAGCACTGTGGGCAGACAATTCAGCCATCAGCCTCTCACAGTTCAATGCTCTCAAACAGCACACAACAAACATTCCTTTTGCTAACAAGCGCCCACGATTCCCTTTGAATCCCTGCCTATCAGCTATGGTGACTGCCAAGGGCACCTGTGCCCTGAACTTGAGGTGGAATGACAGGTGTCTAACCCATTACTTCCTGGTCCTTCCAGACACACCGACTGAGATCGTAGAAGCAGAAAGGCCCCAACCACCGCCACCTACCTGCCACAGGTATTTTGACGAGAATGTCTGCCAAGGCATGCCCACAGCCTACGTCGATGGATGTTCCTACAACCACGAGGGCATCCTAAAGGCAGGTGCTGGTGTTCTCTGGCTAAATGATGGACCCTGCCCACCACAACACTTCAAATTGGGTCCTGCAGATAGCATCAACCCATAACATCAGAGAACTGCTCATCTGCACAGACTCCAACTATGCCAGACTTGGCTTCACATGCCATCTTTCAGGCTGGAAAATGGTTTCAAGACACCAAACAACAAACCAGTTAAACACCAACACCTGTTCCAGGCATGCGACGACATCACATGTGAACATGATATGATCGTCTATTGGAAGAATACCCTAGCCAAAGCAGGTGCACTTCACGGCGAGTTATGGTCTCCACCAACACACCAACCCACCCTTAACGTGGCAGCCATAACTCGCAGCAAACACACTCAACCCACCACAATGCCCACCTCACAGCCGCTTACGCTGGCTCCTCAAATCTCCACTATTGACATTGCTGACATGCAAGCTTCTGACTCCGCCATCAAAACCATCCTTCACCACCTCTCTGACCCCTCCAGCCACCCTATCACACCAGATTAACTTGCTGCTGCCCCAAGCCTCAAATGGCTATACCACGTAACACACATGCTGCGTGTGATAAACAACATCCTGTTTTATGCCCCTGATGACCTCACTGCACCAAAGCTTGTAGTGCCACACTGCCTAAGCGGGGTGATGCTGATGTATGCTCACGACGCACCATGTGCGGGACACCACCAGGGTCTGGTACTACAGCTACGCACAGCCTCCTCAGATAACCTCTCATCGGCTATCAAAGAAGTTTCTGCCACACTGGACAGGACCGCATGAGATTGTGGACAAACTCTCCCCTGTCACATATCGGATCAAGCTGAGCCAGGGACAGAAAAAAACGGTTTTCAAACGGGTCCATCGTAACCAGGTCAAGAGACATGTGGCTGCTGTCAGGGAAAGACAGGGGGGGCTAGTACTAACTAGGCCCCGCTGCAGTTCTCAAAACAAAAGACTTCGACCGTTTCTGGCTGCCGGTCTAGAAAGCTCCTCACCTCACGGCTGGCGGTGATTCGGAGCAGTTTTAACCAGTCCAAGCATCTCGACCAAAGACATTCATTATCTCTGCCCCAGCAAGCCCTTCCTCAGAAACAACACTGAAGGAATCTGCGGGTTACAACCCATGCAAAGAGAGACACTCTGCCCTGCTGAGGCCAAGCCTCGCACACAAGTCACAGAAACGCAAGCAGAGATTGTGATAAATCAGTGGCTTGTCAACACGCCTATCTGTACCGCCACACTGACCTATGACTAGCACGACACTGCCACCCGTGTCAGCCTGCCCAACCAGAGTATGTGGATTCAAGTGCCCAAAGGTGCCATCCTCCACCTCGGTGACCTGGCGCTGTACCACCTTCCAAGTGAAGGGTACCAATCCGAGGTAGAAATGTCAGCCTTCTTCAGGGACCACAATCTCACCCTGGAACCTGAATTGGAACTGAGCATTGAGAAAGGGGGGTCCCAGATGATTGACATCACCCCAATCGACACAGCCCTCCAAGCACTGTCCCGGATGCCTGTCCAGAACACCTTTCCCGTCGCTCAATCCTGGACCTCTGCCGACACAGCACTTTGCCTTGCCACAGCAATCGGGTACACCCTAACACTCGGCCTTGCTTTTGTCCTGTTTAACAGAGTCAACGGGGTGCAAAGATCCATGAACAGGTGCCCAGCTGCCCTTCCTCGAACCTTCAAATGGAGCCACCGGAAAAGAGGGATCCAGGCGGAGACAATGCTGAACCTGACCAAGGATAACACCCACGCTGAGGATCCGAAGGCTGAGGAAAATTAGGATCCACCTGCCATCTGTCAATCCTGATCCACCTGCCATCTGAAAATTAGGATCCACCTGCCATCCGGCCTTCAGGATTCACCTGCCATCTAGCCATTATGATCCACCTGCTACCCGAGCATCATGATCCACCTGCTGTCCGACCATCATGAAAACTGTTATCTGACAATGTTGCAGCACTCGGCCTTGCTTTTGTCCTGTTTAACAGAGTCAACGGGGTGCAAAGATCCATGAACAGGTGCCCAGCTGCCCTTCCTCGAACCTTCAAATGGAGCCACCGGAAAAGAGGGATCCAGGCGGAGACAATGCTGAACCTGACCAAGGATAACCCCCACGCTGAGGATCCGACGGCTGAGTAAAAGTAGGATCCACCTGCCATCTGAAATTTTGGATCCACCTGCCATCTGAAATTTTGGATCCACCTGCCATCTGAAATTTTGGATCCACCTGCCATCTGAAATTTTGGATCCACCTGCCATCCGGCCTTCAGGATTCACCTGCCATCTAGCCATTATGATCCACCTGCTACCCGAGCATCATGATCCACCTGCTGTCCGACCATCATGAAAACTGTTATCTGACAATGTTGCAGGTGAACTTCGTCAGCCAAAAGGGGGGCTGTAGCGTCTGCGTAGGATCATGCATGA